CCCCCCCCCCCCCTTCCACGGGGCAGAAAAGTGCCAGGCGTGTGTGCCGACCTGCAAAGGTGCTCGATTGGAAAAGAGGCACTTGTGAGTGGGCACCAAAAGAACTGGTGACCGGTGTGTGCACGGTTTGCCTGCCTCTCTCAGAGGAACTCGCCACCAGCTTCATGCAGATCCAGCTGACTGAAGCCATCCTGGCCCGCCCCCCAGTGCCGCCGCTGCTGCCCAGCCTGGATCCTAGTGGCCACCAGTGGGTGACGGGAAAGATTGGGGGGGAGGCAGTGCAGATTTGGGAGGGGGCATTGCCCCTGGGGGCCACCAGATTTGGGAGGGGGCATTGGCCCTGGGGGGGGGCGCACCAGTGGGTGACCGGGAAGATTTGGGGGCAGTGCAGATTTGGGAGGGGGCATTTGCCCCTGGGGGGCCACCAGTGGGTGATGGGGAATATTTGAGGGGCCGTGCAGATTTGGGAGGGGGCATTGCCCCTGGGGGCCCTCCAGTGGGTGCATCAGTGGGCGACGGGGAAGATTTGGGGGGCAGTGCAGTTTTGGGAGGGGGCATTGCCCCTGGGGGCCACCAGTGGGTGACGGGGAAGATTTGGGAGGGTACATTGCCCCAAGGTGCCCCCTGGTGGCGACAGGCCTGTCTGGCGCCTTTGTCCACCTCGATAGGACAGCAAGAACATCTGGCCGGCCTCTCCCGCCCAACCGCAGTCCGCCTGCTTTGCGACAAAAGACCGAGACAAAGGGCCCACGACATCGCACTGCGACTGAGAGAAAAATACCATTTATTTACAAGTAGAAACATTTTATTATTTAAAATGACACCATTTCATTGCTAAACTCTCTACAAAGGCGAGTATTAGAAGGCAGCTGGTGGGGGGGGGGGCACCCCTCAGGCTGTGTCCCTCCCGACGGGGACCCGACTTTCACGCGGGGCCCCCTCGTTGCGGCCGGCAACGGAGCCGGCTCAGGATCTCCTCCTGCTCGGCCAGGACGAGCTCCGTCTGGAATCGGCGCTTTGGTCTCCTTGGCCGGTGCCGCGGGCTTTTCTTTCTCCCGAGCTTCACCGCCTAGTGGGCAGCCGGCACGGAAGGCAGAGCACGCCACTGGCCCGTCAGAGGAGAGGACTCCCTGCAGGGAGCTGGAGGAGGCCGCTATTTTCAGGGCCCGGCCTCGTTCTGAAGAGCCACGGCAGCGAATGCCATGTGTCGGGGCTCTTCCCTCTGGCTTGCGCCTCCGACCAGTCCTGGCCCTCAACCGGCCAGGCCCTCTCCCCAGCCAGGCCCTCTCCCCACCCCGCCTCCCCCCGAGCT